ATGACCTGGACAATAATAATTGTTTTACCTTTTTTTCAAACTAAACTCTTTAAACAAACTATATAAATAAAATTTATCTCATAACCTAACTTGCTGCTAGAATTTCTTTCTTGTTATTCTATGTTCCTGTATTGTTATTCTTCACATTATCAATTTCTATGAGCAATATCATTACTAAATGAAGGAAATCTATTCCTAATGCCAATTTAAATTCTGTGAAGGTACAACACTTTCTTCAATATTTGTTTACTTCCAAAAAATGTCAAAGCATATAACTTGAAATAATATTTCAAGTATATATTTAAATTTTTGACATGCACTCACATTTAGAACATCTGAAATAAGAAATTTTAGGCGAATTTTTGCGCATAAGACGCTGTAAGCGGGTGACAGTTCCACATTCGAGCGAATAAGTAATGACGTCGGGCTTAAAGCGTCTTTAAGCGGTAACTAGCCTTCTAAAGAGAGCGCTTATAAAGTCTTAAGCGGAATGTGGAGGGGCAGATTGTGTCAAATCTGTCAATGAATTTGGAAATTGAGGGAATATTTACAGCTGGTTATAAGGTTTTGGATTATCGCCATTAAAAATTAAAAAAATGTCTCAAAAAACTGTAATGTGCTCATACAATTTAAATGGATTAACTATCGAAGTTGATGGGGAAACGGCAGAATTACTAGAAAGTAAGTGATTTATGTCAGAAACAAAATATAAAATTATATTGATAAAAAGCTGTATGTACAACCACAGTGTCCACAGCATAATTTTGAATGTTGTTAATTGTTCTTCAATTTTTAGGCGATGAACAGTTTAGAAAAAATTATGAAACAGCGATATCTAAAATATTTTCGAACAATACAGACACAAACAACGTAGCAGCGATATCTCAAGAATTTTCCAGCAATACAGACACAAACAATGTAGGTACTTATTCATACGTTTAGAGCTTGGTGTAAGTACACATATGCATTTTCTCTTTTAGGACCAACAAGAAATAACAAATTCATTAGTATGGACTTCAAAGAAATCGTCGTCAGAAGATGTCGAGGCAACTATTTTATTATTGAATATGAGAAAGAAGTTCTCCAGCAAGTTTGATGACCAAAAACACCCAAAAATTCATTTATGGCAGGAAATCGCCAACCATTTAAATTCAAAAAAATTTTTTGTTGGTGAAGGTATTGACGGAGCTGAAAGGTGCCGTAAAAAATTTTCTAATCTGCAGGCAACATATGTAAAATACAAAGACAAAAAACACCAAACTGGCGAGGGTAAAGTTTTAAAACCACCATTCTTAGAGGAAATGGAGGAAATTTTCCAGTATAAAGATAAATTTAACCCACCAATAATAATAGACAGCATTAAAACAAAACATGAAACAAGTACTGATACTACTATCAGAAGTGATAATAAAAACTGTCCAAGCTCATCAAAAGAAAATTTGTCACCATCAGTTTCCACTGATAGTGATAACGATCCAATTAATAAATTTCAAAATATTCGAAGATCAACTAAACCAGATAGAGACAAACTTCTTTCTAACCTGATTGAAGTACAAAAAAAAGATATAGAGGAAAGAAGGTCAGAGTTTGGAAGAATTATGTCATTTTTGGAGACTACGTCAAATCAAAGACATGAGCAAATCATGGCATTACTGAAGAATAAAGAATCAAAAAAAAGGAAGAGGCATGATTCTGATAGCAGTGGATAACTCAACACTAATAATATTTAATGATATATACAGGGTAGCCCATTAGTGCGAGGAAGTCCAAGATATGAAAAAAAGTTTTATACAGATGTTGCATGGTTTATAAAAGGGTTGAAAAGGACATATCCTAAAAATATTTTTTTGTATACAGGGTGTCCCAAGAAAAAGTTGTGATAAATTTTGAAGTTGTTTAAATTGGGATCCCCATTTTTCTCTACAGATTTGGATTCAGCATAAAATTCTGCATATAGTACTCTATTTTTATTTCCAGCACTATGTGGTGTAGCTATTTTATTTCATAGTTACTGAAACTTTGGTTAAAAACACTATATCCGAAAAGTGGTTATAAACTAGAATGAATTTAACTTTATTAATACTTAGCTATATTTTAATAAACCCGCGAGGGAAAATTTACATGATCTTATACATGGTAAATTTTATAGTGTTAAGAACATTTAAAATACTATATCTCCATTTTTTGAAATGCAACACCCTGTATATTATTTCTTCTTTTAGATGCAGAATTATAAAATGAACATTTTTTATATTTAAAGTGTAATAATTTTTCTCCTAATTTTTAATGGTTTAGCAGTTATTACCATTATTATATTAGAGAGAATGTTTAATTATTATATTACATATGGCTCTTTCAATAGTAAATTTTGATCAGAGCCACCTTGTGATTTTTTGCCTTATAGTTAACTACTGAAAGAGCCATTTTCAATATACTACAAATATCTGCGAAAGTGTAAAAAACATACAATGTCCGTGTTTTAATTCTGCATCTAAAAGAAAAATTATATTACATGGTGTTGCATATAAAAAAATTGAGATATAGCATTCTACATACTGCAATGGTTTGTATAAAAAATATGCAGTATAAGATAATGTGAGATTTCTAGCAGGGATGTATTCTTGGTATTTTTAAAAGTAAGTATTATAAAGTTATATTTACTACAGTTTTAAACACTTATATAGTGTTTTTAGCCAAAGTTTTAGTACGAAATAAAATGGTAACACCGCATAGTGCTTCAAATAAATAGTGTACTCTATTGTGCAGAATACCTGGATAGCTACATATTTAAAAAAATTGTCTCTCAATTGTTACAATTTCTTGGGCATTCGGCCACTGTATGTACTTAGGTACCAATTCTACCAATCTTCCTATCATTATATTAACATAATAATGAACTGTTGACGTTGCAACGTCAAATCTGTCTCCAATAGAGACTAAGGAGTCCCCTTTTCCTAACCACCATAGTGTCATAAGAAGCACTTTTTCACAATTTAAAGGTACCCCACCTCCATGATAAGTTTTATTAAGTTCAGGGCATTGAACCACACCCACTAGCTTGTGGAAAGTATCTGATGAATCAGAAAGCTCTGGTCATCCGAAAATGCATGTAAAAGTCTACATTTTTGTATCGGATATCCAATTTTCATTATATATGGAATATGGATTGTATGTGGTTGTTTCTTTCAAAAAATAAAAAGAGTGTACTATTATGCAGTATTTTATGCTGAATCCAATTATGTACGGAAAAGTGGGGCTACAATTTAAAAAAAAACTTAAAACTTTATCATAATTTTTTTGGACACCCTCTATACTACAAAATATTTTTAGGATATGCACGATTATAAACTATTCAATATCTTTATAGAATTTTTTCATATCTTTGTCAACAACAACGATATCATTGACTTCCTCGCACTAATGGGCCATCCTGTATAATATTTTTAAAAATTTGAATTTATTAATAAAAATGGTCTTACTTGATTTGTTTTTTCTTTATTTTTAATTTCATCATTTCTCAAACTACATAATGTGTATATTAACATTTATATTGATTTACTAAAATTTATATAAAGGAGTTAGCAATATTTTCTCTTTTGCGAATACCAATATTTTCATTATTAATATGTAATGCTTCAACATTATCATTGCCGTCTTCAAGGACATCACTTATTTCATCATTCCATTCATCATAATTTTGGTAACAGAAATTATGAAGCACGCAGCAAGCAGCGATTATTTTAGCAGCCTTTTTTGGGCAGTTTACATTGATGTACCTTAAAATTCGCCATCTAGACTTCCATATACCAAATGTATGCTCCACACGAATTCTCGTTTTACTGTGTTTATAATTGTGAATCTTTTGTCTTCTTGTTAAATTGCCATAATCCCTAATAAAGAGAGAGCATATTAAGTGAGTAAATAATTAAAGTAGTGATAACAAATTTTCACTAATGTAAGATGTAACTAGATTATTATTACATCACTTGCAATATTAAAAAAAAATATATATAATTTTGCCTTATTCTACATACTTAAATGGTGTTATTAACCACTCCAATATAGGGTATGCCTTATCGCCTAATAGATGATATTGTTCACTTGGAAAATACTTTAACAAATTTAGTCCTGTATCTCTATATAGTTGACTGTTATGCAATATCTGAAGTTAAAATAAAATTCATAAACACTGTGGCACCAACAGTAGAGTTATCTATTTTACTTTGTTAACACTAATTTTTGAAATAGCTTCATATCTAATATGATATTGCACAATTATGTATAATTAGTTTTTGTTACATACAATAGCTAATTTAGTCACAATAAGTACATTTGAAGTAACTTACTCTACTGTCGTGAACAGAGCCAGGAAATCCAACATTTATATTGGTAAATATCCTTGTTGCTGTTGATACAGCTTGAATCTTGATGCTATGTTTGTCATTTTTATCGATATAGCTGTCCTGTTGATTCAGTGGTGCCTTAAAATTTACACAACATCCGTCAATAGCACCAATAACACCTGAAATGCAATGATTTCATTTCATTAGGCATACTTATAAACAAACTTGGTTCAGAAATTACCCGGATAGCCACATATTTCATAAAATTGTCTCTCAATTGTTACAATTTCTTGGGCATTCGGCCACTGTATATACTTAGGTACCAATTCTACCAGTCTTCCTATCATTATATTAACATAATAATGAACTGTTGACGTTGCAACATCAAATCTGTCTCCAATAGAGACTAAGGAGTCTCCTTTTCCTAACAACCATAGTGTCATAAGAAGCACTTTTTCACAATTCAAAGGTACCCCACCTCCTTGATAAGCTTTACTAAATTCAGGGCATTGCACCACACCCACTAGCTTGTGGAAGGTATCTCTTGTCAAGCGAAAATGCATATAAAAGTCTGCATTTTTGTATCGGAAAATCCAATTTTCACTATATATGGATCGTATGTGGTTGTTTCTTTCAAAACACAAAATATACATAAAGGCACTAAATAATGTAGGCCTCCTTCTTAGAAATAAACATAATAGCATAGCCAACATATCATTTGAAAAATCGTTTATCAAAATTTTCGTTTTTACTGGACCCATTTCGGAAAAGGTAATAATTAATAATTTTCTTTAAGAATAGTACCTACTTTTCAAAAATATTTTCCACAAAATAAACCACGAAATAAACTCAAAGCCACGCTCAAGCTCAAGAATAACTCCACAGACCAACAACAATAACTCCCTAACCTAACATCCAACCACAGATTCAACGTCAATCCTTTGAGAAAAACGTCACGCTTAAAAGACGTACATTTTTGCGTTTGGAAAATTAATGACGTAGTTCTTTAAGGCGCTTAAAGACAAGTCTTAAGATGAGATCTCGCGAAAATATGCCTTTAATCGTTTAGCTACAATACTCCGTGTCGTATGTGGTGAACAAGCCTGTATAAAGGATTTTATAGTAAGTACTTTTAATAGTTATAGTCTAGATATTTTATTTGTTGCTACTCAGAAAATAAACTATTCATAATCAAAGCTTGGCTTTATTATATCTAAATCTAAAGATCTTTTAAGAACTTTTTACTATGACAGTATCAAATTTCTTTATCACAAACTTTTATTACTTTACCAAATAATTCTTTGAACATGTCTCATGCCTTCCCAATGAAGAGTTTTTGTAAAAAATATATTAAAAGTGATCATGTTTATAACAAAATAAGTTATCAATTCTAGGACAACATTAAAAACTGCAGAGTCCTTATTCTGTATTCTTAATCTAATAATAAGGTATGGCACTAAAAAGTATCTTACTTCTATTAATGATTGAAAAATAAGAAGTAGCGTTACAGCTGGGAAAAATACAAGGGAAAAGCTTATATCACTCTTATCCCACACCAATTTTATGATGACATAAAGAGAAAAAATGTAAACTGGAATCATTGAATATCTAAACCACCAGTATTTTCCGTAAAACCTATTCCAAACGTAAAATATAAAATGCCTATTATCTGCTAGTAAATATGGATGTACTACAGTATTAAAATAAATTACCAAAACGCTAATCGAAATACTTAAAGTAATAAGCAATTTATGACGTTTGACAAATAGCAAAAAATTAAAAACTTCACTGGCAAAGTAAGGCCACCCAAAAATTAAACAAAATAAACTGAAATAGAAGACCTGTGGAATGTTAATTGACAATTGATGAGCTTCCTTATCGCCTACGACTATGCTCCCATTAATTATGACAAAAGCAATAAAAAATATTAAAACTGAAAGGTAACATGAGAAATTTAACCAAAACCTGTTTGACATAGTACTTAAAATTCTCCGAGGATTTGTTGCCATGTCCCACACGAATTTTTGAAAGTGCTAAAAATCACATATTAATTTAATAATGTTATAATTATTGTTAGCTTACTTTAACTTACTTTGGCTGGTAATTTTCCATCTTTTTTCAAATGATTTTTCTTTTTAACCCAACCATTATATAGTTCACATAGTACATATTTTGTAGCATAAATTCCCAGAAAAACAACATTAGTTTGTCGGCAAAGAATAGACAAGAATCCTAAAAAAATAAATCAATTTATA